TCTTCTAGTTTATCAATATCAATTTCAACATGTCGGCACCTGCCATCACAGTTTTTAAGGCTAAAGTCACCTGAATGAAATTTGCTGAACCATCGTTGACACTTATGAACCTATCAAAACACTTTCATTGATATTATTTGTAGCTACAGACGCGTTGTTTCCCTTCTTGTATTCAAACATTAAATGCCGAATGTGTGTCTCGTCGTGTGCCATCACTATAAGGGATTAGAGGAAACTAAACTTTACACATTATATAGGCTACACTCATGTGACGTTTAGGCGGTTCGTTGAACGTGATGTACGTTTTTTGGAGGGTGGTTAATGAAAGTGTTCCAAAATGCGACATTAATTTCTTGACGACCTAATGCAACCTATATACTTTTGTTGCTCTTTTATGGGATGTGGCCTGTTTATAAATATATCATTCCTCTGACTTGTCTTCCGATTTCAAATTTAAATAATATAAACAAATAATAAAAAACAAACCTCTTTTATTAATTGAGCCTCTAAATTAAGAAACAACATTTTATTTTTCAAACTTGTAGTTAGGTTATACTTTTATAGCTAAGCAATATGATATATAAGCCATTGTTGGAATGCATTGCTACCGAAAAGTACTGACTTTTCTATATATTAGAAGTTGTTATATAAGGAACCACTTCTTTTCTATGTGGTTTGTCGCTAGCTTACCTCATTAAAAAGATGCACACGCTCGTGGTTAAGATAAGTAATAATACGCAGGTCCAGTTAGTATGATTGCAAAATTTCAGGTTTCTAGGTTCTTTTCTCTTAGAGTTAAGGCAGTCACATTTCTTTTCTATGTGGTTTTTCGCATAAAGAGGTGCGCACGCGCATGCGCGCACGAACCAATAAAAGTAATAATATCCAGGTGCAAACCCTCAGGGTCCACTTAGTATGGATGCAAAATTTCAGGTTTCTAGGTTATTTCCTCTTGGAGCTATGGTGATCGCACAGACACGTGCGTGCGCGTGCGCACGCACACAACTGTGGTTTGTATTTGTAATTTTTTTGTGATTTCTATTTATAAATTTCAAGTTTCTAGGTTCTGTCATCTTGGTTCTATTGAGGTCACATATTCTTTCCTATGTGGTTTTTTCGCTAGCCTGCCTCAAAAAAAAAGATGAACTCGCGCACGTAGATAAGTGATAATATCCAGGTGCACACCCTCAGGGTCCACTTAGTATGGATGCAAAATTTGAGGTTTCTAGGTTCTTTCCTGTTGGTGTTATGGTGGTCACATACACACACACACCCTTTCATTATTATGGATTATATTTTAAAATTGAGCATTCGTATCTATCAGTGGAGTTAAAATGTATAGGACAACAATTAAAAATGGCATGTGAGACGTTAGAAACTAACACACATTCACACACAAGTTCTAAATCACGAGTATTCTACGACGTTGAAATATTTTTGTCATATCAGCTAGGAACTTGAAGCCACTGAAAGGAAGTACATTTCTCTCTTGTAGATATACAAACAGGTAGGAATGTATATTGTTAATACCATATATGTTCTGACAGTGAAAAATGGTTCAAGGACATCTGCAAAGTGTCCGGGAATAAAGCAATTTATCCCGGACGTTACGTCATATAGCATATCATTTGACTTAAAAAAGCATTTGTCGATGGACTCCTGTAAGAATATTCTAAAATCATTGAATTCAGAGAGTTCGTCATCATGTTCACAGCAACGAGAATTAGTTCATGGGAAGTGCAAGAATGATATTACGTAAAATAATAGAATTCGGATATTACGTCGTAGTGTATACGTGTTACACCACATTTCATGAATTATTTGACAGAAAGCAAAGAAACATGGGAATAATTCATGGACACTTGCAAGGATCACCGGAAATAACACCATTGAGTCCAAATGTTATGACGTCACAAAGTTTATTTACATGTTACACACCGTATTTCGTGAATACGACAGGCTGAATACAAACTCAATATTGGAAACCCCAATAAAGCATCAAATTTAAAGTTATATTATTATCTGAACGATAATACCGTGAATAGGATTTAACGCATATCACACCGTCATACCTGATGACGTCATATTTGACAGGATAATATCTGCAAACACAAACAAATATTTTTCCAATGAACCTGTTACTAACATATCTATAATTAAAGTATTAAAACTGATACAGATAGGTTCAATTTTAACAGTGACAATTGTCATGGCTTCAACTACAGAGGAATTATTTTAGGATAAAAACATTCACCTGAAACTACTTTAAATGCGATGGTGAAGGGACTCCGTTTCTTATACTTGTTAGATGTCCAAAAACTCAGATGAATGGAATGAAAAAGCGACTGGAACTCTATGTCAATGGATTTTTCGACAGCGTTACTTTCAGCACAGAGTGTCCGCAAGTAGTTGCTTTCCTGATACACGTCACGTACGGTAACGAAATTCTCATCACAACTTCCTTCATTCCAGAAGGTTTTAGAAAAATATAAGATTATATAGGTTCCTATAGGAGTAACTATCTGTTGTGTGTAGTTAACACTCTCTGGCGGGCTATGCGGATAGTTCATACTCTGTAACATTCCTTTTACCATGTTGTTGAAATTTAACACTGTTTCTACTTGGTAGCCATTCCCTGAGAGAAAAAGAAAGATTATGCTTGAGCAGAGGGACATTATATCACATAAAAAGTTGCAAGTTTAAGAATATTAATATTCATCATAATTCTAAAAGAAGAACAAACTATATATATATGCATAATTTTATATATATTTAGAGCTGGGCGTGAACGAGCTACAGATCGAATGGTTCGAGTCGCGAAATGCTGCTAAACGCGCTCCTCACTTTCAGCTTTGGGGTCGCTATTACTGCGAGTGTCAATTCTACTATTCAGTTATCAGACTGTGTGAATCTGGCTGGTTGCATGCCCTCTGTACGAAATTAGAGGAGTCTGTGTTTAAGCTTAGTGGGTCGTTTAGCTAATGTGTCGCATAAGATACTGTTTATAATGAAAATAGCAAATATGAAATAATGTTTATTTACATGAAATTATATTTAATACCTTGCTACATTGAAACTAAATTTACTAACTGCCCATAAACTGCATAAAATTAGGCATTGAAAATTGTTGACTTATTTATTTCATTTTAGTTAATATTCCTTCCGATAGGTGGATGAGACGTAGAAGAATACTTCGAGCGGGAATCTATTGCGCACCACACATTTCCATATATATCACTTTCCTGAGCAATATTAAATTACATAAAATTATATCATAAGTGGTAACGTCAACAGCAAACATACCAGTCTGAGATGCAAAACTAAAAACCAAAATGGAAGAAAATTATTACAATATCTAGAAGACTCTGATACTAGCCTATTAAATGACAGTACACCCATTCACAGTAATTGTACTCACATCAGTGATATCTTAAATTTGTGCTCCATAAACATTTTCAAATATTTCATATCATTCAATGTTGCTGAAGACGCTGATAGCAATCACTTACCTAGTTGAGGTATTATTGATCTCTCTACAAATTCAAATCATCAAATATACTATGATAAATATAAATATAAAAATGCAAATTGGCAAAGTTACTCTGAACATCTGAGTAAAGACTTACTGAAAGATTTATTAACAGAAGCAAAGGGTAGCACATAAATTGATAAGTACTGCTCTATAATCTCAGAATGCATAAAACTTAGAGCTTTGAAAATCACAAAATATAAAACATATTACTCAAGAAAGTGCTTCTGAGAAAATGTTCGAGCATTTCACAGCACTATTCAATGTATCACTAAAATCAGGCCATATACTAGCAACATGGAAATAGGTAGATGTTTTTATGTTCCAGAAGGAGGGCAAACCCGCAAATATTCCAGAAAATTATAGAACTATCAGTGTAACTACTTGTTTAGAAAAATTATTAGAAAAATTATATACAGAGACGACTGGCATTTTTAGAAACCTCATAAAAATTACCCGAGGTTTGTAATGGATTCCGTAAATCCAGACAAACAACGGACCACTTAATCAGTCTCACTGAAGAAACCATCAATACTTTTAACAAGAAATGCTGCACAGTTGCATGCTTCCTTGACATAGAGAAGACATTCAACGGGGTTTGGTATAACGGCCTACAATACCAACTGTCCAAAATAGGACTCCTCAAAGAAATCATCCGCTGGTTGTCAAACTTCCTGGATCATAGGTGGAAGGCACCTACTGGGAGTACTTCAGTCCAGAAGTAGGTGTCCTACAAAAAGGGGTAGTTAGTCCTACACTGTTTATCAAACATGTCAGTACAATGCCTCTAAGAACCCAAACTTCAGTTTCTGCTCACAATTCGCAGACGATGATGCCATCTGGAAGAGTGTATCAAATTCAACAACAGTAGCATACAACGTATGTCCATTTTTAAAGGAAACAGAACTATTTTGCAACAAACGGAGAATCAAAATCTCATTCACAAAACACAAATAATGCTATTTGCAGTCTATAAAAACAAGTACAAATAAACACAACTTTACCTAGACTGTTATTTCCTCTAGGGGACAACATAGCAAAATTTCTAGGTTTAATTTACGGCTGAAAATTAATGTGGCAACAACACTTAAGTAGTATCAAAATAAGAATATGGCAGAGAATATGTTATGTTAGAAGTCTGATTGGCAAAGATCAAGGGATCTCACCAGAAAACTATACAAGACATATATTAGACCAGGCATGTATGCTCAGCGTGGATAAACATATCTAAATCACACACCATCAAATTACAAAAAATACAAAATTATATACTAACGAAAGCCTAAGAGTACTACACACAACCAATATGACATTTTTACATAATTATTTAAACACCCTATTTCAGCCAGACTTCTAACAAACATTAGATATACCCGACTGTTTCCACTTAAGTTTGCTTGCCCCCAGTGGCGCAGTGGTATGGCTGCGGACTTACAACGCTAGAATCCGGGTTTCGATACCTGTGGTGAGCAGAGCACAGATAGCCCATTGTGTAGCTTTGTGCATAATTATAAATAACAACCATTTAAGTTTAGTGCGAGTGCTACGAATTAAATAGTTTAAGTATAGTGTGAGTGTTAAATTTTGTTATTTTTAGAAGCAGTAGCTTATTGCAAGTTTGGTTACGAATTATTCGTTATATAGTTCAACTGTTATGAAATGGCGCTTGTTGTATTATTGCGTTATGTTACTAGAACTTTTCTCGTAGTTTAAATTGAGTATTATTTCATCATAATATTTCGTAGTGTGTGGAACATTCTAGGCTTCTGTCGAGCTATAAATGTAGTTTGAGTTAGTTATAGAGAGATATATAGTTCTAAACTTGGTGATTGTGAATTTAGCCATAAAGAGAGAGTATAGTGACGATTTTTAAAGTGAAATTATCACTGATTGTATTGCAATAACAGAGCAGAGAATAATAATTCGTTTTGTCAAATTGTATTCTAAAATAACTGAACCAGATTGTGTGGATTGAAAAAAAAAGCTCTGTATACAACTGTGATAACCAACTGTGTAACGAATATTTCTATATACACTCGACTTGTTTTAATATATTATTTAAAAAAAAGTGAATTGTGTACTGTAAAGAATCTCGCCCATACAAAAAAAACTGAAAGAATTTATTATTTAAACCAATTGAAGCTTTGCACTGACAGTTACAATTCCTGTTTTAGTAGAACACTCCTAAAGAAGATGTAAAGCGAAACATTGTTTGTGCAATTAAAAAAAAATAAAAAGGTTATAAGCTCGTTTATTACTAGTAATAAATATCTTATATTCCAATACACAGTGCAAAAATTAAATAATGAGCTGTTTGAAATATTTGGTAAAAAATAATGCAAATCTAGTCCACTCAGTGTTTTTTTTACTACAAGTTTTACAACTTACATGGTTTCACGAACTAATGATAAGCCTAACTTCACAAATGCCCCCCCCCCCAGTGGCACAGCGGTATGTCTGCGGACTTACAACGTTAGAATCCGGGTTTCGATACCCGTGGAGGGCAGAGCACATATAGCCCATTGTGTAGCTTTGTGCTTAATTACAAACAAACAAACAAACTTCACAAATATGTCACTTTCTCGTTAGTTTTGTCGTACTGTATTCCTAGTAGAACTTCTTTTCTGAAACACAAACTCAATATTAACGAAACTGAAGTAACAAACACACCTTCTAACAAATTCGCCAGCTCATTAATCAATCCACTAAAGAAACAGGCTCAATAATATATATAAACATTCTTCACTAATCTTGCCTAACTCGTTTTTTGTATTAGTGAAATCGTTTTCTAAGCCCACAGTGGCTCAGTGATAAGTTTAAAGGCTTAATCAAAACGCTATAAATAAGGCTTCGATACATTGGATAGTTTTGTGCTTAACAGGGACAAGCAAACAAGCAAGCATTTTCTAGATTTTTAAAGAAAATTCTAGTCATTAAGCCATGCGCTCACCGCGTGAAAAAAAAAAAAACTCCCGTTGCCAAAAATAAAAAAAAACGTCTAAATTAAAAAAAAGACCAGGACAATATTAACGATTTTTAAAATATAGGCTAGAATATGTGAATATATATATATATATATATGTTGTATTGTAGGCAGGAACGTCGAGAGCCAGCACGGGCTCTGGGGCAAACATCCTCGCCGGGCTCCTTTTCTCTTTTTTAACATTTTAAAGAATATATTAAAAAGAAAATCCTAAATTAGAACAGCAACGAGCTCATAAACCAGACAAAATCATAGCAGCAGCCATTTTTACCTCACAGTATATGTGTAAAAACATTAATAAAGTAACAACAAATATCTATTAAATCTATAAAGTAACAAATACATATTAATCAGTACTCAAATTATTATTTCAGTCATTCTTAATGTATCAAGCATCTATATGCAAAGAAAGCCAAAAACTATGGTATTTATCATTAAATGAAGATATAGCCTAAAGATGCTTTGTGGGCTTTACGGCATAAGCAGGTTTCATTCAGCCGGGCCCCTGGGATGTAATTTTGTGACATCTCTGTTATTGTATAGAAAAAATATGATGAGATTAAGAAACTGAACTGTAGAAAGTAGCATGCTGTATTGTCATCCTTAAAGTGAACATTTTCCAAACATGTAAATAGGAACTTAAAAAAGTCTTATCTCTTACAGTATAAAATACACAAGCTAATTATTACTAAGAAAAACATGAAACACACATAAGTTCAGTAAATACAACAGTAGCAGTATATTTCTCATGCAAATGCTTTTATAAATGTAGGAATAAGAAAATTTAGAACACAAACATAATTTCTTTCTCATTGAAATTCATATATTGTTGGACAACTTATAACATTTTTAAGCACTTCTGAAGATAAAAGTCAAACCAGGAAGGACACCATAAAACAATATTTTCCTTCATTACCTTCAAAGAATTTTTTTTGACTATACACTAACACTGTTACACATAAAAAAAATCTGAATAATCTCGTATCACTTGTTGTTGAGTGTTAGTACCTGTATTCTGACTAAAACACAAGCTGAATCAACAAAAACTAGTTTATCTTCATTTATTATAAACTTCATACTCAAGATGTGTTACATTAAGACTATTAAATTAACTATTTAAATA